ATATAGGAACACAATAGGAGTGTGGGTTCCATGAGTGCGTGCACTTGTCAAGACTGATAGAGCTGTACACTTCAGATCTGCGCATTTCACCGTGTGTAATTTGTATGTAAAGTTTTAAAAAACAAGTGTTTTCTTTAAAAAAAAAAAAGTGCCTGGCTCAGAATAATTATTTCATAAATGTTAGTTACTGTTATTATTCTGCTAAACCACAGAATATCAGTTTAGGAAATACTGTTCTTTGAACATCCGTCTTTCCTTCCTAACTTAGGGCCTTAGCCCATACTTGTTCATCTGTCTAGAATTCACTTCTCCTCTACTTTTTCCCTGGATAATGGCTATCCATCCCTTGGTCTTCGACTAGAGTGGCATTTCCTCTGGGAAACCTTGCCTGACATTTTTCCACCAACAGCCGAATTAATACATTCTATTACCTGCCCCCAGAGCACCCTGGACTTCCAGCACTTACAGCTGTGGTTAAGTTGCTCTCACTGCCTGTTGTCCATTTCCCCCATGAGACTAAGGTGCATGGGGCACTGGCTCTGTTTTGCTCACCACTGAGTTCTCTGTACTCAACACAGTGCCTCATACCTCATTGCTGGGGACAAAAAGCAGAGACAAAACCTGGTCCTTACAGTCCCCAACAATCTTCAAATAAATCATTTGGCTCAAAGTGTCTACAGCCAAGTCTGTTTCCTCTTTCCCAACGTACCGTTTTGCCCTTTCCAAGTCATCGTTTGCTTGCTCCAGCTCTCTGATATATTTCTGCAATTGATCTTTAATTGCTTTAGTCTGTGCAAGGTCATCCTCTAAGGCTGAGATCTGTCGGTAGCCTTCAGAGTGCTGCATTTCAAACTTCTCCTGAAGGACAAAATAGACACTGAGTGAATGATTGAAGACTTCTGATAAGCTACATTTATTTCTCTTCTTTGTCATCTCCTTAAAAATACTGAAGGTTAATCCTGGAACATATGCTCTCGAGGTAGTGGACATTTGTCGTCTTTAGCCATTCATTCCTCCCCGGTCACACATCCTGCCAGCACTCTGATTTCTTTAGGGGATTTATCGTTCCCTCATTATAGTCTTTATGGGACTGCTCCTCCCAGCGTACTCCCTGAGGAGGCTCCAGACTTCCTCTCCAAAGACTTGGAATCTTAAGCAAGTGATGGAAGATGGCGGGAACAGGTCGTGGTCATTCAAAGCAGGCATGCCTTGACCAACCGTTCCAAGTACCTCCTGAGCACCTTGTATCCTGTCCTCTCCCAAACCTGGTCCCTACAGCCCCCAATGATCTGCAAACAAATCATCTTGCTCAAAGTGTCCATGGCCAAAGAAAGCCACATTAACCTCTTCAAGCCTCTCCTGTGAAGACAATATGGACCTACTTCATATGTTGTTACTGCATTACAAAGAGAATGTCAGGAATCACACTGACTTTGCTTGCCTGTGCCCACAATAAGAGGAGGGCAGCATGAACTCAGTTTGACAACTGTTCCGACCTTTTGATCCAGGACACTCCCCTGCAGCATGGTAGTTAATCACCAAAGGAAGCTTACTGTGATTCGTCTAGTGCTTTCCAAAGGCAAGGAATAATCCAGATGACTTTTCGATGATTCGCTGCTGCCCAGATGGAGCAGCTAACATTTACCACAAGCTTATTCTGTGCCAGCCTCTCGCCTAAGTACACTACATATGTGGTCTCATTTAACCCCACTTCAGAAATGAGGGAACTGAGGCTCAGATACTTAACTAACCGAAAGTCAACCAGCAGCCAATGACTGAGGCAAGGTCAAAGCCAGGCCGCCTGAGCTGGTGCTCTTAAAACAACTACACTAAATGTCCCAACCCTTTCAATCCACGCCACGTAGGTAATGAACATATTCTCTCTCTCTTTCTTTTTTTTTTTTTCCTTTTTGTCTTTTTTACTGACCGGTAACGGGATCGCAACCCTCGGTGTCGCGCCCGTACCGGGGACCGGCAACGGGATCACAACCCTCGGTGCTGCACCCGCACCACGCTCAACCAGTGAGCGGGAACCGGTCTCCACATGGGATCCAAACCCTCGGCGGGAGCGCCACCGCGCTCCCAAGCGGCGCACTCTCCAGTGTGCCACCGGGCCGGCCCCTCTCTCTCTTTCTCAACTCTGCTCCTGTTCCTCTTTCAAATTCCTTTCCTTCATCAAGCACCCATCCTAGATTCTACAAACATGAAAGAAAACACTCACTTCCCACAAGAAAGGTCCAATGTCTAATTTGAAAGTTAAAAAAAAAAAAGGGCAAACTCCTTTACTCGATCAAGTAAACATAGCTGTTGCTGGAAGCAGTTGATGGGCTGGGGAGGGTGATGTAATGGTGCCTAGGCCAGAGGGGTGTGGCAAGAGCCACTGTGCAAGAAGACTATCCAAAGAACAAGCAGATTATTTAAAGAGTGACAACAGGGAGGCCATTCCACATCCTCCGGTCACTTGGTCCCTTCTCATGCTCCTGTTTCCTGGCTGTGAGCAGAGGGGAAGTGTCTGCACTCAGGCAAGCCTGGGCAGACCAGGCCCCATGCACAGGCCAATTCCCAGGTGTGGTTCTGATCACCTCACACCCTTTACTTGGAAGCATCTCCAAGTAAAACAGGCTCCTAGATCATTAGCCTAAATTCAAACACAAGCTCCAAGAGGTTGCAGTGAGCGGGCTCCTCCACCTATGTGGATATTCAAATGATCACCCTGGAACCTGTGGACATGAAAAGCTATTGCTGAAATGCTATGCTTTCATTTGGGGCTAATTATAATAAGTTGTCAGCTGATGGAGGCATCAATAAGTGGTCTGTTTGATCCTTTACAGGCTTTTTATTCAACCCGTGATGAATAAGCCAGTTGTCAAGAAGTCCATCTCAGCTGAATGCATTTCTCTTAGGTGACTGACAAATATTTGCTAGTGGCAGTGTATTCATTATTCTAAGGTATTTGTATTCTGTGCTCTGTGCTCTCAGTCTCATGCACCTGTCATGTGGTTGTAATGAAGAGATCTCCTGCAGGCGACAAATATTTGCTAGTGGCAGTGTATTCATTATTCTAAGGTATTTGTATTCTGTGCTCTGTACTCTCAGTCTCATGCACCTGTCATGTGGTTGTAATGAAGAGATCTCCTGCAGGCTCAAGGGCTCAGACCTGAAACAGTTAATTACTTAGTAACTGCTTGACCTTTGCTCAGCACCCATAGAGGGCCCCTTACCCTCTCCAAACTATTTTCACACTCTTATCTTCCTTCTGCACAGCTGTTCATCCCCGAGTCCCCTGCAGTTTAAGAACTACAATGATTCCTCATTGCCTGTGGTAGGGGTCAAATACTATAGCTTGCAGGGTCACACTTAACAAATGAGTGAAGTAAGCAAGGTGCATGATGAGCCTACAGTGTCAGGGATGTGGGGATGGGGACGAACTGGAGAATGTGTGTTCTGTCTAAGCAACCCCACCAGAGCTTTCTGTACCTGTGGACAAATGCGGGCCTGGTGTGGCCAGATCTTCCAACTAGAAGACAAGTCATAGATCTAGATTTTTACAGGAAGTCTTACACAATTTAGATGTTGATATTAAACATTTTTTAAAAAACACTAAAGATATCAAGTTGACTATTGAAAGAAGAAACTAAACAAACTCTGAACTTAGTTAATGATAAACAGGGTGAAGTAGTTGGGGGAAGTATATGGATGTCTGCAGTTTACTTTGAAATGCACTGGCAAATAAGACAGACTGATGGATGGAAATATGTATAATAAAAGGCAAGTATGGTAAATCTTATTTGTAAAGCCCAGGTGGTGGAGACAGAATTGTTCACCGGAAAATTCTTTTTTTCATGGTAAAACACTGAATAAAAACCACTAAAAGCTAATAAGCAAACAACATGTATGGGCCAGAATGACCTGTGGATGGGCCACTTGGGCTGTCTGGTCTATAACTTACAGCTTGAACTTCACCGCTCAGCTTCCAAGGTCTTTGGGACCTTTCCTCTCCCCGGCTCTGAATCCATTTGTTGGTCCCACTTTTTTTTCCCATGCACTAGTAAGGCTGGGCTTCCAAGGTCTACTGGACACTCATTCTTATTCATGTCTGTGATAGATCCAAACCCCCAGCCCCCAAGCACCAAGCTTCTGGCTGCAGATACACACACCCCTTCAAACACCAGCTCCAGGCCCTCTCAGCTCCTCCATGAAGCCGTCTCCAACTGTGCAGATCTATCTCTCTTGGAAGGCTCTCATATCAGAACTGTGTCTAAGTATTATTTCCCTAAGTGCTTCATTGCATTAGGTTTGTCTTCCCAATGAAGCTTCCAGAGAGCAAGGAGGACGTCTCCTTTCACTGTCCATCACACCTAGCTCTGGGTAGCCACTATAGGGCTTCAGCTCTTTCTCATCGCGGCTCATCAAAATTTACACAGGGAGCGAGAAGCCATGCAGACATGCCAGGGCCCCACCCAGACGTACTGAGAAATGGAATCTCAGAGCAGGGGGTGGGGGTAGGAATGGGAGAATGGGTTTAGGCCTGTCTGATGTTTATGAAGCTGGCCCTGTAACCCTGAATGGCAGCAAGGGCTGATAGCCAGTCTCTGGGGCACAGTGTTTACTTAGTGATCATCTGCTGAGCCCTATAGAAAGTGCAAAAGGCACAATCTCTGCCCTTTGGAGCAGTGGTTCTCCAGACACTTGGTAATGTCTGGAGATATTTTTAGTTGTCACAACTTGGGATAGGGGGTGCTACTAGTATCTAGTGGATGGAGGCCAGGCATGCTGCTAAACATCCTAATGTGCAAAACAGCCCGTCACTACAGAGTCAACCAGCCTGAAACATCAACAGTGCCCAGGGTGAGAAACCTGCTCTAGACTAGCATTCTAGAAAGTTCTAACAGAACTTTCTATAATGATGGAAACATTCTACAGCCCCTGTCTACTAACAGTACCCACTAGCCACACATGTTTACTGAGCACTTGAAATCTAGCTAGTGTGACTGAGGAACTGCATTTTTTTTTTTAATTAACTTGGATTTCAAACGCCAAAAGTAGCTAGGGGCTACCATACAGAATAATATACCTCTGGACTTGATAATGATCAGCAATTATAGCAACCCTGCCATGCACCCTGTGAAATTGTTCTAGGCTGGGCCGGCCCGTGGCTCACTCGGGAGAGTGCGGTGCTGATAACACCAAGGCCCCGGGTTCGGATCCCACATAGGGATGGCCGGTTCGCTCACTGGCTGAGCGTGGTGCTGACAACACCAAGTCAAGGGTTAAGATCCCCTTACCGGTCATCTTTTTAAAAAAAAAAAAAATTGTTCTAGGCAACCAAGAAAGGCTGTGGGGACACATATGTGACTTGCTTCTCACAGAGCTCCACTCATCAGGGACATAAAGAGTACCACAACCGCATCGCCCACCAGGCCTGGAGGTGGGAGTGGGCCTAGGGCCTCAGCCCCTCACTCTGCAGAGCGCTTTCTGCTGGTCACACAGGCCATGTCCATGTCGGAAGCCTAGCTATATCCACACACATCTCCTCTGAGCCCCTCACCTTGATGGTCTCCAGCTCCATGCGAAGGCGGTTATTTTCCGATAGGAGGTCCCTGTTCCTGGTTTCGATCTGCTGCAGCTGAGTCTCCAACTCAGCTTCATATTCTCGGCTTCCCTCCTGGAATTCTCGGAGCTCCTCTTGCGTATTCTCTGCCCTACAGCAGAATTCCCAAATGTCAAGCAATTTACTGGGTGCTTCAAATGTGCAGGGCATTGCGCCATTGAGCGTCATACACAGAGCATCTCTTTATTCAGCTAAACTCTTTATTCTACCTTTTGAGGCAGAAACTATCATTATACCCATTTCATAGACAAGTTGAGTGACTTGTCTAAAGGTCACACAAGAAGTCAGAATTTGGACCTGAACCCGGGTATGCCTGACTCCAAAGCCATCTCTTAACTGACTTATTACTCACTCATTCATTCAACATAGATTTTTTGAGCCCAACATGTAGTAAATATACTTTGTACCCTCTGCAGATATATTTATGTGTCAACAGAAACACATACTATGATTACTATCAATACTATAGTATTAGACATACTATAAATGTTCTTTTAACCTGCCACTATAATCTGTCCCTGCCCCATCCAAAACACCCATTTCTGGCTTCTCAATCTTTAAAATTCAAAGGACTTTATTTTTTTTTTAATACCAAGCCTGAATTATCCTTAAGTCAAAGCAAGAATAAAGAAACTAGAGGAACTGGGATAGGACCTCCATGTGGAGACTGTAGGAGTTCAGGAGAAATAAAAAGAAACAAAAGCTGAACCACAAACACACACACACACACAACCACTGCTTCCACATACAGGCACTAAAACACTGGTTTCGGATTTTAAAATTCTGCAACAACATATTTTGCTCGGCATAGGGCGAAATTCCCTCCCCCTTCACGAAGAACTGACCAGATACGGTATCTAGGAACCAATAAAAACCCTTCCAGAAAGTAAGATGGAAAGTAGCACAGCATGATGGTTAGGACTGCAGTACAAATTTGAGCTCCGCTACCTACAGGCTGTGACTTTGGTTAGGTTATTGACCTTCCCTGAGATTCAGTTTCTTCATCTGTAAAATGGGATGATAACAGTTTCCTCATGGGGCAGTTTTGAGATAGTGTAAGTTAAGCCCTTCACAGTGCCTGGCACATAAGAGGCCTGCAATAAACAGTTGCTGTGATTCTTACAGGAAGAAAAAGCAGGTGAACTTTGGAGGACTGACCTCTGCTTGTAGGTCATCGCCAGATCTTTCCAATAGGTAGCTTCTTCCTCCTCAGAGCTGAAAGTCTTTCCCGAGTCCTCCATTGTGAAAACAGGGGAAGAGATCACTCTTCTCGGGGCATGGCGTCTAGGAGAGAAGGTTTAAGGTAGCTTCTTCCTCCTCAGAGCTGAAAGTCTTTCCCGAGTCCTCCATTGTGAAAACAGGGAAAAAGATCACTCTTCTCGGGGCATGGCGTCTAGGAGAGAAGGTTTAAAAATTATTAACCCATCTGGTGAAACAGCTGATTTTAAATTGGGTAGAAAAAAAATCCATGAACTTTATGATGGATTAAAAGATAAAACACTACCAAAAACTTTAACTAAACCTAAACAAAAGACAGCCCACCCACCTGTTACATTTCACAGATTAATATCAAGGATCATGTATATCACCCCACGAATATTTATGGAGCAAGTATTATAGGACCCAAGTATCCAAATAAGAAGTCTCCAAGATTCCTGTTTTCCTTCAAGGGGCCTCACAGTCTTGTGGGGCAAAGAGATGGAATCACATGTAAGTTATTATAAAACTCTGATGAGTGCAGCGACAGAAATACGCACAGGACATTGACATACATAAACTGCGTATATTTAGAGTAGCCACTTTGGTGCGTTTTGGCATATGTATGCACCTGAGAAACCAGCACCACAATCGAGATAATAACCATTTCTATCAGTGCACAGGATATTTAGGAAGTCCCAAATCTGAGTCAATGGAAGGCTTCCTGGAAGAGGTGATGCACGAGGTGTACGGAAAGAATATGAAAGAATAGGAAGGCACTGGCAGGCGAACAGAGAAGAAGGATGATGAAAAACGCGGGAAACTGGAGAAACAGCCCAGGTTGCACGGAAAGCTGGAGGAAGTCTAGTAAGCCTGGGTTGAAAGTTGGGGATAGGAGGGGAATCTGAGCAGATTAAAATAACAGAGGGGCTAAATCACAGAGGGCTTTTACAACATGTTAAGAAACTTAAGGGCAATAGGGAGCCACTGGAGGATTTTGAGGAGAGTGGCATGCTGGGCCCTTCTGCTGATGCTGCTCATCCTGGTGGCTATGAATGAGTTGCAGAGAGACAAGGCCTAAGATGGGGAGCTGTTGTGGCAATCCAGAAGAGAAAGGACGAAGGCCTGAATTAGGACATGGGAATGAAGGTGGAGGAGAGAGAAATGGATTCCAAAAATATTTAGAAGGCAAAACTGCGAAGATTTGATGATTTATTACATCTGGGAGTGGGGGAGGAAAAAACAGAGTGGGGACATCTCCTGGGGCTCCAGCTTAGGCAACCGGGTGCCACTACCATCTCCAACACAAGAGATAAAGCATACCAGAAGGAAAACTCCTAGGTGGGCGGGTTGGGGGAGATAAACCCAATTTTGAACATTTTTAATCTGACATTGCTGTGACGCATCTAGATGCAACCCTGGATCTGACACTCAGGGGTAGAGTCCGAGCCAATGATATAAACTTGAGAGGCATGCATCTGTAGTTGGTTTTTCCCTTTTTCCTGGGACAGAACGACTAGAGAATCTCATGGAACTCTGGGGAAACGCCAATATTTGAAAGGTGGTCAGAAAAAGACACAATAACTGAAGGAGACAGAGATGAAAAGGTGAGAGTGATGAGAAGCAGGAAGACGGAGCTGTACTGGGAGTGGAAACAAGGAAATATTTCACAGTAACAAGGATGCAATGGAGAAGCTGGTGAGATAAGGACAGGAAAAGATGCACAAGACTGAGTGAAATGTCGGTCACTGGTGGTGTCAGCAAGAAGAGTTTCAACACAGTGGAGGAGTAACTTGGAGGTGAAGAAAAGGAAGCAGATGGAATTTTGGAGAAGTATGTATCAGAAGACAAATTAGCCAGTAGCTAGAGGGTGTGAGTGGTTAAGGGCCTTGGCTCTGTGAATTTTGAGACTTCAGAACAGAGGCCAGGGAGGCAAATTTCCATTAACAGTTGGGCTAACAGTTTTTAGACTCCCTGCTGCTACAGCCTCTCTGATGTAAAGCGAGAGCTGATGTAAGAGCTCTGATGTAAGAGCACAGTTTCTGAGTTTATTTGAGGCTCTGAGCTTGTCAAAAGGTCATTAGGAATCCAAATAACATGTCTCTAAACTTCCTTCCTTCCCTCAACGGAGCTCACAGGCTGGTGTGTGTCCTTGGGAACAAAAGAATGAACACTTTGCAAGAAATAACCAATAAGCTGTACTTTGGGTTAAAAATACAAATATAAATATATCAGTATAAATTGAAACATTGATAGGCTATATATATCAGTGTCCACATAGACACAATCACCAGGTTCTGGATCTTTGATGGGAAACGCACAATTATACATAACTATACTCCAGCATAGAACTTATTGATAACTCTACATTTGTTAATACCCATATTCACATCTTCTCTCCCTCCTAATTTTTTTCCCTTCCCTAATTCACAGAAAACTTCCCATTTCCCCACCCACCATGCCCTTCTGGGGAACAGTTTCTCTGAAAGCTTGATCAAGGCACAGAAGCTAGATGTAGTAGAAAGCTCCTGATTTGTAGATTTTTTTCCAGTCCTGTATTCATTCTTCCATCTTTCTGTGACAGTACCACACTATTCCCCAGGGGAAACCAACCCTACTCTCATCTCATATGGTTCAGGTGGATTTTCTGCATCTAGGAGACGGTAAATGCCTACTCTTGCCTCTAGCATCGGTGACTGGCTCTGGGGTCGGCCTAACTAAAGCTGTATCAGTAACAAGGGTAGGCCCAACCCACACTGAGCCAATGGGCTCAGGGATGGGCCTAACTCACACTGAGCCAATGACAGAGATGGATCCAACCTGAGCTGAGCTAATGACTGGCTCTGGAGTCAGGCCAAACCCATGCTGAGCCAACGACAGGGATTGGTCTAACCCACACTGAGCCAATTTAACAAAGGCAAGCCAATGAGTGTCCAGGTACAGGCCTTTTGCAGATATCAAAACAGAAACTCTCTTTCCATCAGGGTTGGTAAGGTGTAAGAAGGAAGCCTAGAACTGCCAGTGGTCATCTTGCTATCACTAGGGGAGTGCCTGCCTGAGGATGGAGCCAAAACAAAGGAAAATAGGACAAAGAGATGGAGAGACTGGGTCCTGACACTATCATTCGAACACCTAGGTCAAGTCATACCTGACTTAACGTTATGAGAGAATCAATTTCCTGTCTTGATTATTCCAGTTAGGGTTGGATTTCTGCCACAAGCAAGTCCTGATTAATATATGGACTGAATGATCTTATTTGCTGAAAGTAAAATGGATAGAGTGTTGATAACAGTAATTAACATGGCAAGGAGAAGGGGTAAATCTAAGCCTAGTACTTCCTGCTCGAGCCATAAGTACTAACAAGCCCAGATCTCATCTAATATGTAGTCACCAAACCAATTCTATAGTGTCAAGAGCCCTGAGCCCATACCTTATATATAATGAGCACGGTGTGGCCATTAAGACATTGTTGATATTATTAAGGACAGTCTCAGTTGCACGGTACCGAAGGAATTCAACATATGAGAGGGTGGGGAAGTGAGGAACTAGGAACAACGAATGTAGACTGACTTTTCCTGCAGTTTGGAAAAAGATCATGTACAAGATCGAATGTAATCAGCCTCCTGCCTACTTCTCTACACATTTCCTACCCCTCTACCTCTCACCCGCTTATGCCCTCGCCCTGCCGCCTTCTTTCTCTCCCTTAAATGCACCAAGCTCACTCCCACCCCAGGGCCTTTGCACTTGCTGTTCTCTTGGCTTGGAATGCTTTTCCATCTCGTCTCTGCCCAGCAGGCTGTCTTCTTACCATTCAGATCTCAGCTGAAATGTCCTCCCCAAAAGGACCTTATTTGGATATCCCACTAATACACCCTCCAGCTTTCCCTATCATATTCACCTCTGCTTTGTCTTATTTCATCACTTTCTGAGTTTCGCTTTTGTTCATCTTCCCCATTAGAAAGCCAGTTTCTGAGTATAGGGATCTTCCCTCGTTGCTTTTGTATCTCCAATGCCTAAACAGTGCTTGGCATATAAAAGGCATTCAATGAACGAAAATAGGGAAAGACAGAGATTGATCACTAGCTGTCCTCCAGCTTTCCCTATCATATTCACCTCTGCTTTGTCTTATTTCATCACTTTCTGAGTTTCACTTTTGTTCATCTTCCCCATTAGAAAGCCAGTTTCTGAGTATAGGGATCTTCCCTCGTTGCTTTTGTATCTCCAATGCCTAAACAGCGCTTGGCATATAAAAGGCATTCAATGAACGAAAATAGGGAAAGACAGAGATTGATCACTAGCTGGAAGGGGATGCGAGGTCAAGGAAAGGCTGGAAGCAACGGCGTGAGGGAGGAAAGAGACCCTCTGAAAGCTGTAAGTCCTTAAGAAGCTTATGAGGGAACTGATGGGAAAAACCTAACTCTCTCCCAGCACATTAGTGACATTAAAAGTAGGGGTCGGTGAAAAGGATACCCTGTTGGAGACTACCCCCCCCACCTTGGTTTAAATGAATGATAGGCATATCTGATACAGTTAATAAAGTTTAATGACCCTCATCCTGCACACTTAAGAAGATGAAT